TTTGCTTGCGTATACAGCACATTGTGGTCTCTTGCTTTCACTGTACTGAGTGATGCAAGCCTTTCTGTTCATCTGCCTAACGTGATACAGTCAGGTGGCTGGATTGTGTTGGGTTTACGGAGGCAGATGTTTATTTTCCCATGACAGTTAATTAAGAAATTGAAACTTAATTACAAACCTTCTGTTTTCTCTTGGTACTGTTTTTCAATTTGGATTCAATCTTATTTTACACCAAAAATGTGGCCTTACATCTTTAAAACTGCTCTTTAAAAATGTTTGTAATGCATATGATACAAAAACGAACGACTGTTATGAACAGGAGTCAGTGAAGTCTGAATTGAGTTTCAACCTAATAAATAATCTTTTAATATGTATTTGAATGGTATTGTTTCATTTCATTTCATTTCAAACCTTTATTTAGACAGATTGGTCCCTTGAGATCATCGATCTCATTTACAATTTAGTTCCAAATGAAAAATAAAAACAACATACAAACAAACAACAGAGGATATCATATTTACATATTCAACATTTTACATGTGGCACATACATAAAAAAAAAAAAAACTCATTTGCAGTTAATTATCTTTACTCTCCTGAGATTTGGAAAATGAACAACAACAGAGGCCAGCATCTTGTTGGTGACTTCTGCTTTGCAACCTAATTGAAATTATGTAAATAAAAAGCGCGGTTTATTAGCGGATACTGAATAAATACATATAAAAATAAGAATCTGACATGCACATGACTTTTCACACATTTCCTTGCGGCATGCAGACACACAAAGTGCCCCACCCTTGGCCTGGATAACATGGCCACACTAGCTTAGCATGGCTTTGTTAATAGGGGTGGGAGCTTTGCTGTGGGGGAATGGGGGAGGGCTTTTTTTCTGGGGGAATCCTTGGCTTACAAAGACTCACAATACCCCCTCCCCGGATAGTCGTGTTCACGTCTGTGCTTCCAACAAGGCGTTGACCCCCCTCCCCCTGCTGCCTCCCCACAAGAGCTTCTTTCCCACTGTGGGCACCGTGATGCCGATAGGAAAAATCAGCAGATGGTGAAACACTTTCTTAGGGCATATAAGGCGAGCCGCTCTCTAACATCAGTTGCCTGGCATTTCTTATTTTCATCACACATCCTATCTGTGTTTTGTCCATAAAGTGTGTGTTTTCACCTTAAATGAATATGTTGACATGTTTTTTGTGTATGTGCTGATAGAAATCCTACAGTCACTGCCTGTGCTCATGACCAACAGAAGGAGCCAAAGAAGCTCACAGTAAGCTTATTAATGTCTCCTGGTCGCTCTCCAGTATGGGCTTGCTAGTTGCCATAGCAACCAGGACCTAGATATTGTTCAGTAGAAAAAGGCGTGTGGATGTAAAATAAATATAAACATCACCCTGTAACCCCGGCCTGTGCTTTTCATGTAAAGCAGCCCATCTCACTTATCATTATGCGTGTTTACAGAACGTTATTGTGCATTTAAGACAAACGTGGCAGCCTAATCTGTAGCACATTAGTCATTTTCACATTTATACTGTATCACTTGCTGCTGACCTCCTGATCTTCATTTTCAGTATAAACCACATTTAGAACAAAGTGAAGCTCCACGTTGAAAATCCAAATTCCGATGCTCATCTCCCAGCGCCTGCAGAAATCAACAGGCAACAGCGCTCTTCGTCTTAAGTGCTGATGTGTGTTCACGCCCAGTCAGGCTGAGGGAAAATCTAAAGACACTGAAAGATTAAGGAGGTCAGGTTTTACAACTCCACTGAGGGGAGACAGGGAAGAGGCTTCAACAGCCATTGACTACCATGGAAAAAGAGATAGGCGGCTTTCAAGGAGACCACCAGATATATTATAATCTGGTGGATTTGCTCAATTGTCAGATATCCAGTTTTACTGTAACACAATGTTTGATAGATGGATTTCTGTTTTGAAGGTGTTATCAATATTTGATTTACACTGTTGTGCTTGTTTGATGTTGCAGTTGACCCAAACGATGCTCTTCTCCACAACAACTTATGAATCAAATTCTGTTGCATGGCTATGACAGCAATACATCTCCAGGTCATCTGCAGCTAATAGTGTTTTGAGGCTGTGGAGATCTTATGTACAGCATTGTCCTCTCTTTTCTATTGAAAGCAGGCTTTTAGACCAGAAGAGAAGACGGACAGGCAGTCAGCCAGAAACACTTATCATCCTGTCATCCTTTTTTCACAGCTCAATTGTACTGTACACTGAGCATGCACCAGTGCTCGGAGATTTTGGGGCCAACAGAGTGATCTCCATCTCAAAGTGAATCCGAGGCTTTGGCACCAGAAAATAACCGAGTTATGTTCTCCACTGAATATGCAAAAATAGGCACACCATGGAGAAGTTTCAAGCGTTTGTTTGCAGGATTTTATTCAGAAATGCATTGGTTAGAATCTAGAGACCTACAGAAGTTCATAGTCTTATTCAGATTCATGGTGAGTCGTCGGTTTATACATTATTAATTTATAATGACAAATATATATGCTGTGTTTAATGCAGCACCAGCAGTAACCATGAAGCACATTAGTGAGATGGTTTAATATACAGTAACAACATCAGACAACTCTGTTAATGCAGATTGATTCAGTGCACAGTCACAGCACAATAAGGACGATATATCAGGAAAGAAAATGTGCAGTTGTTGTGTTAGTTAGATACACAGTGTGCGTTTGTAATCCCCATTCCTACATTGGTTTGCTTTTTGAGGTAACGAAACATTACATTTGAATTATTAGCTTCAACGTAAAGGTTAACTTGATTGTGCTTCATGAGAAATCCTACACTGTGCATTGTGTTGTAAGAAACTGTGGAAGGAAAACAAATCATCACCAGACCATGAGGAACACTACTCTCTTGTGACAGCCTCACACTGTTTGAATAATTAAAAACCTCAACATGTGTCCGTCAAGACATGTGCATATGCAGTTATTGGTGTACAGAAGGCACAGATAAAGTGATGCCACTAAACCCGGAGGTGGTCCAATTAAAGGGAGGAACATATGGTGCCATTAGCGCTGGTGATCTGCCTGTCAAGTCATCCAACAAACCCAGGATCCATGATCAAATTGGCCCATATTTTCCCAGTGAATGTCCTGATTTTAAAACTTTAATTAGGTAATTGTAAACATCTTAATATACCTAAAGTAACCAAAATATAGGTACTCATTGAGAGTGTTAAATGTAATGTTCATATGTTTATAATATTGAGTTATAAGGATTGATGCATGCATGTGTTAATCACTTTAAGGTTGCAGCTGGTAAGGCTAATTGTAATCATAATTATTCTGCTGGGTAGCCTAATCAAATAAAATGTATCTTTATTTAATTGTTGATATTTTTATGATAATAATCTATAACTACAAAGTGACTCTATCGTAAGTTGTCAAATGAATAAAGCATTAAGTTACAAAAAAATGACCTTACACATTTAAATAAAGGTTACATTGATAACATTTGCATATATTACAATTATAGAAGAAGAAAAAAACACATCGCTTTTAGAAATGTTTCGAATAAAAGTATGGCCCTTTCTTAAATACAAATATTAAGATTGTGAATAAATGATTTCAAAAACGTTAACAGGTATGAAATGGATGATATGTTTAAATGTGAATGCAATGGACAGGGCAGGGGAGTGCGCCATCTAGAGGCTGAATGCCATCAGTTATCAATTGCACCTTCTAAGTACAGTGCTTGAGTAAGTGCATTTAGCTACTTTCCACCAGTGGGATTGTGATATGTTAAAACTTAAGGAGAATATCTAAAATGGATTATCGTATTCCTTGGGCCCGCAAGACATTGCCTCAAAATGAAATATGGACATAATAAAAACGGAGTAAACATTCCTCTTTTGTGTGAGTGATACATTGCCACCATCTTCTCCTGTGCTCTACCCTTATTAACCCAGGCATCACATTTTACCACAATTAGCTTCCTTTGTGTCACCACGGGCCTTTTAATGACATATTCACAGGCAAAACATGTTTAGCCTTTAGCCATCCACACCTTCGAAAGGTCTCTGTTTCATCAACCAATACTCCGGATAAAGACACTACAGTCCATATATGTGTCGACATCTATTCAACAAAGGGCTAGAAAATAAGGAATATTAATAATTAAATGAGAAACAAGATAGAAAAAAGTGTTGCTGCAATAGCAGAAGCATTATGTGCACATCTCATTACCTGTTTTTGTCAATGTCAATACAGCACAGCAGTGGATGTAAGTTCTGCTCGTAACTCAATGCTGCCACCTACTGGAAGAAACTGACATAGGCCAAACCTGGTTGAGTCATTGATATTACATTAACAGGGGTGCACATAACTTTTTTAGTGAGTTACTCAGAGGAGTACCTGGAGACAGCGTTAAGTACTCACCCCACATGAAGTGTGTTGTTAATAAGTGCAATCTTCCTCACCTAGTGTCTCCTTCACTATCGTCTATTTCCACTTATTGCGTGGTAGATGATGAAGATGATGAATATTTATCCAAAACTTGTTGCCAAAAATGTGAAGTCCTTGCATTTCCTGAGGCCAAGTTGAAGGATTAAGTACTAAGAAACGATCACATGACTTGAAGTCATATCAGATTTCAGATGTGGGAAGTAACTAAGTACACTTATTCAAGTACTGTACTTAGGTACAATTTTGAGATACTTGTACTTTACTTGAGTATTTCCATTTTATGCTACTGTGTACTTCTACTCCAATAAATGTATTTAATATCTTTAGTTACTTTACAAATTTGTATTAATGATGGTAAATATAATCAAGTGTTAAATCAGACTTTAGTTCCACTCGAGTAAATCCACAAGCTACCCTGCAGTATACAAAGTCATTCAAACTAGCTGCACCTTTACCAGCTTTGAGAACACTTTCATGATCAATCATTATAAAACATAATATATTATTCTGAAATGAACCAATCTGCAAAATATATTTTGATAATACTTTTCTACTTTTACTTGAGTCACTTTTTGAATGCAGGACTTTTACTGTAACAGAGTATTCCTACACAAGATCTGAGTACTTATTCCACCTCTGTCTGATTTCAAACTCTTCCATTAACACCCTGAGTAAGTTAGCAGCTGCGTTTTGCTCCACCTTGTTGTAAATCAAACTGCAGCAGCTTGACCACAGAACGTGAACGTTGTGATCAGCTGAGTTTGCCTAGTTCTCCAGTGTGTGCGCAGGGCACAGAATGTGCACAGGGGAGTCTCCCACTGCAGCCAGTTGGCGGAGTTTTGGTACAATTCTGTTGTTCATACCAACGTTAACCCTGTCTGTGCACACGGCACCAACTCTGTCGTCCAGTGATCTAAGCCTCTGCCTCCTGTAAAGCTTCACAGGTCCGTCGGTTATGGCCTGCGCGGCTCGGCCAGCACCTAGTTCAATCAGTCCAAGAAAGTCTGACTATTTTTTGCAGGGAGCAAAATGCCAAAGTGCTTAATGTCTTTTGTTTTTTTGGACATGTCTAGTAGTTTACTCCATTGAGTGTTGACAAGAAACACGTGTAGACGAAATATGTGTTTTGTTTTGATGACCTATCAGGTACGCAAAGGCGCGTAGTGACACAAGTGAGGTTACGCATTTCAGATTTTTGCCGCGCATGCGTACCTGCATACCAGTTATGTGCTCCCCTGTACATAAACCATGACAGACAGTGACGTCCTCTGTCTTTTGCAACAAATTACAGTCCAGTAATTTGTGAGGTATAACAATCAAAACAGGCTAAACTTTTGAAAAAACACATCCATATACTAAATGACACACACAAAATAGTAAAATCATTTAGCAATGTTCTCCATCTAGTTCCTTTAATTGTTAATTAGGGAATGTCTGACAGGCTGGTGCACCTTTATCTCCTTAAAGGAAACAGCAGCTCCTCTGCATGTTGATGAGGAGCACAACTCTAAAAAAAGACATTGGAAAATAGACAGATTAGATATTTCGCTGTCTCAGCAAAAACGTTCATGATTTACCAAAAACATAACTGCATTCAGCAGCATTTATTTGAATAATCAATATTTTCTGCTGACTAATGTTGAGAGAGAATATTAAACTTAACACTTGCTTGATGTAGTGCCTCCAGATTTGGCAAAGCACTCATCTCTGCGGCCTGATGGCACAAGATTTCTGGATGCCAGCCGATCCAGATTAGCTCTCCCTTTAAATCGTCCTATCCCCAAACCAAAGACAGATATTGCATAAAAGTTATAATATTATGTTTGCCCCCACAGAAAAACCCAATATCTGGGTGGCTCACCAGGGTTGTTAACCCTCTCTGCAGCCTTGTGCTCCAGGTGCCTCTGCAGGATGGCTTCTGTCTTCCTCTGGTTGGTGCTGATGTCGGGCTCGGCCATGATCTCCGTTATCCTCAGGTTGTTCTTGATTGCTCTGGAGGCTGTGGAGCGGGCCACTGCGGGCAGAAGCTCCTGGTACTCCTCATCAGTGAAGTCTGACTGTGGACCCTGCACACCTCTGATACTGAGAAGGGAGACTTAAGGATTAGCATACCTACCAGGTGGAAACCTTAGGACTTTAGAAAGAGAAGCCAAAGCACCTTCATACTTTTTTTTGTACCCATATGATGGCAAAAAATTCAGATTGTACGGTGTTGATTATAAAAAGGAACCTACTTCTGAATTGATTTACCAGTAAAAAAAAACGTGGAAAAAACATCAAGACTGGGAAGCTTTGAGCTTCATCACCTTATCAACAACTTTCTCATGTACCAATATGAAATACTGCTGTCTGTCTGGTTACAAAATAAGTAGCTGAGGATTTTTTTTTAATATGCCTCAAACTGTGTTCATTTCCTGCCCCACTCCCAATCAACACTTACCTCTGATTAGTTAGAAGAGTGTAGACCTCCTGCACCAACAGCTCAGCTGCTCCTGGTTTGCAGTGGATGCTTCTATCAATGAGGTCTTTCATCAAGTGCAGATTCTGCTTCTGTAAAGACTAAAATATAAACTATTGGTAATTATCTGATTACGATCCCTCATGAAGGACATTATCATAATGGGTCTTCAGTGTAGATTACTTTCAATTAATTGATATTCAAGGTTTTCTCTTGTTGTGTCCTTGGTTGCGCTACATCACAACATGTGGGTTGGACACATTAAAGTAGTTTCATTTTTAATGATAATTCAGTAGTCTACTCAAGGGAAAAATAAACCACATTTAGATCACATTCCAACTCGACAGAACAAAGATAAATCTTATTCCAGCTCATTATATTTGTAGATGTTCTCCTCCTCTTACCCTCTCTATCTGTCTCCAGTTCCTCTGTTTGGAAGCCAGTGATGTTCCGTTGTCATATGCATGCGCTGGAAATTCTTGGGGGTAATAACGAGACAATATCTCTGCCACAAGGAAACCGTTAGAAAAGTCTCTGGAAATAAAAAGCGCAGACAACAAACTGAGTTTATTCTACCATTAAAGTCCACTGTGATGCTGTCCGGACACCGTTGGAAAGCACTGATGTTTTCTCTCTGATCTGTTGTGTGATCCTTGATTTTTCTATTCATATGTAGTCTTACATTATGAATTCTGTCTCATATGTCTTCCTCCTTTTCATGATTTTGTGGTGCAAGAGGACACTCCAAAGAGATATTTCATCTCAGTGAGGCCCTTTCATGATAAAATAATGCAAATTATTCGTTAACGTTACATAGCAGAGTCACTCAATCACAATGACTAGAACAACTGTCAAACACTTGAAAAAAACCAAGCTATCCAGAGTTGTTAGTTGTGTAGCATAAGCTAATGCTCACTAACGCCACGGATTGATTTGGTTATTTTTCAGGTCACAAGACAGCAAGAAGCACTCATTTTGAATGCAGGAGTAAAAATCCTGCCTTCAAAATGTTACTTAAGTAAAACAACACAAATAATTAACATCAAAATATACTTAAAGTATCAAAAATAAAAGTACTCATTATGCAAATTGACCCATTTCAGAATAATATATTTTTATGTTTTGACTATTGAGCCATTAATATGTGAATCTAATTTGGTAAAAGTGCAGCTAGTTTGAATGACTTTGTGTACTGCAGTGCAGGGTAGCTAGTGAATGTTACTCTGGGTGTAACTAAAGTCTTATTTAAGTGTTGTTTATATTTCACATGATTAATCCAATGGTGCAAAGTAACTAAATATATTAAATAAATGTAGTGGAGTAAAAGTACACTATTTACCTCTGAATTGGAGTGGAGTAGGAGAAGAAGTAGCCTACGAAATAGCAAAATATTGAAATACTCAAGTAAAGTACCTCAAAATTGTACTTAGGTATTTCAACACTAAATCGGCGTTACTTTTGGTTGTATTTCAAGCCTTTAGCCCGCTAACCTATCTTTTAAATGCAATGACTAATCAACATTTGCTTCACAATTTAATAACAAGCTAACTTCAACTACCTAAATTAAATGGTAAATTAGCTAGCAGCTAGGTTAGCTGAATCCCATTGAAACAACGGTCAACGCTAACCTGTAGTTAACTTATTTTACTTATGTTACTGAGGACTTTCCAACTACATGTGTCCAACTTAAAAAGTATATACATTGACCTGGATTTGGTTTTCATTATTGCGCACTGCTAAGTGTTTGGGTTAGCTAAGTTAAAGTTTAATTACATGTCATTTTTCAACGTTACCTGCGCACATTCTTCAGATAAACTGACAGCTCGAGGCTCTGCAGCCACTTCAACACTTCTCTTGGCATCCCTGCCTTCCTGTGAGACTGTGGGTAAAACATGATGCTCCAAGCCCGATCAAACATAGAAGTAAACAGTTTTTTTACTGCTAACTCTGTAAATTACTCCATGAAAGTGGAGGTCCGCTACAGCTTGACGCCCTGATCGTTCTTTGTTTGTATAACCATGGCAACAACACGACGACACTGTTTACGGCCCTTCAGAGGGTGTTACATGTATACAGGTTTTAAATTAATTCCAATCTAATAATTGTAATCATTTAAATGGATTAGAAAAATAAGACCTTGATATAATACTGAATTGCATTAATACTAGTATATGATTAATACTAGTGATGGAAAGTAACCAAGTACTGTAGCCTAATTGAGTACTTTTTTAGGTATTTTCTAACAATTTGGAAAATAATATTGTACTTTTGACTGAATACATTTGTTTGACAAGATGAGCTAATAGTTACTTTGCAGGTTCATATTTTTATTTAAAAAATGTAATTGACTGATCAATTAAAATGTACTATAAAAAGTCATTAAATAAATCTACAACTTTTCCAGCTGCAAAATAAAAATAGTTTTTCATGAATTTGATAAAAAATAGCAATTCTACATAGTGTCTTTTGTTTTTATTTTGTAAAGCACTTTGAATCGCCACATGCTGAAAAGTGCTATATAAATAAAATTGCCTTGCCTTGCCTTGAGTTGGCCTACCTTTTAGTTTAGTTACTTTGAGTATAGTTTGATGCTATTACTTTTCTACTTTTACTTAAGTAACATTTTAGATGCCTTAAGATGTCTTTCACTTGAGTATTTCTACACTGTGGTATCATTACTTTTACTTTAAGTAAAATATCTGGGTACTTCTTCCACCACAGATTAATACACCTCACCTTACAACCTCAAAATGGAAACTATTTCAAAATGGGAGACTCTGAGGCTGAATATTATGAAAAGTATTTTCATGCTGCTCCTTTATTCAGCTTTATTTAACTGTGGCACTAGCTATTGTTGCAATAGACATTTTTGCTGATCCACTCCCTCATTTTCCATTTGGGACTTAACAAAAAGTCAGCCGCCTCCAGTTGTCAGTAGTCAGTAATCCAGGCTTAGACATGTCAACTATTTTTGTTTTCAAAATGTTTGCATTATTAATTCTCCCACACTGCCCCTGTAAGTCAAACCGCATTAACAACACAGACTAAAATACATAATTTATTTAGGAATGCACCAGGTTTCAGAAATCTGAATCTGTAATCTTCTAGTAGTGTGCAATGCATTATATCTCAAATGCCTAACTATGAATACTCACTCACATACATTATGTCTTTATCCGACATCATATTCATGTAAAGTTTCAAAAGTGCATCACTCCCTGGTAGCTATTGCAACTATTAGGGCATCTTCACGGCAGACCTACATGTGAGATAATACCTTTTAACCATAATGTATCCAGGGAAGGTTAAGCCACGGACTCTTTTAACCCCCTGCTTTACATTGATCCAGTTCCACAAGCACATATGCAGGCTAGCTCGACACAGCGTGGTACTGCCAGATACTCAGTGACCAATTAACTGCTAGCTAAAATTAAAGGTATAGGGAGAGTTCATATGCACTCAATGACAAAGGCTCTTTTCAGCAAGTCCCATTTTGACTGCCTGTCATTTGTACTGCAGGTAGTTCCTGAGTCTATAAGGCAGGGGAAGGTTGGAGAGAAGATGGAGTCTGTCACAACCCACGCAGTCCCTGATGCACAGACGACACATCTGGCCCAGCAGTCGAGGCGTAGCTATTCAAAAGGAGACAATGAAGCCTTTATATTAGATTGTCCTAACAATTTCAAAAGAATCCTGAAAGAAAATAATCGACCCTATTATGCTATTCTGGGTTTTCCCTTTCCTGTAGTGTGTTATATAGGTTTGTGTGCATGTAAATGGTTTGCAAAGCCTGACATCCCTAAGATCACACCAGAGGGAGTTTCTCTCCCTCTAAAGTACTTTTTGAACGTTTTACAATTGTCACAGTAGAAGCCGGAATACAAATACAATCCTGACAATGAACACAATATGGCCCTTTTAAGTTGGCATTTCAGCATTGTAATGCGTCGAGCTGAGATAAAAAAAATAAAAATAAATGACAACTTTTATATCATTTGATGTAGTTGTTTAAACACAAACGTAAATACAACAAATAGGCAAACTATACGTTAACATAGGTGTGTAGTTGTATACAAAAAAGAGTGATTGTACCTTCGTATATCAGTAGGAATCCCTCTGTTAGACTGCTGGGTGGAGCCACGTCTACTGGCCTCTGACAATCTGAGTTCCTGGCATTAACGTCTGCACCAAACTCCAGCAGCAGCTTCACCACAGCTGTGCAGTCTTTTTCTGCAGCTGCATGTAAGGGGGAATCCAGGTATTTGCCTTTCTGTACACTTGCACCTGTGTGTAAGACAACTTGATTATCCATGCTAGACACATTTGAGATGGAAAAGCTTCAACGTCAAACACGCCCGCTGTTTCAAAATCAAAATATGTTGTTCATTGTAACCCAGAAATACTTTTGTGACTATTTTCTTATTTAACATGTAATATAACTGCTTTCCCCTGTTGCCCTCTATCTATCAATTCCAACATGTCCCAGAACATTACTTTCAAACAGCCCTGTGAGAATGTATGTGCCTTTTTCTTTTATTCAGTCAAAGGTAGCCATCAGTATTGGCAGGCAAATACATTGAAAATGTGATCAGTCAGCTGTAGGCTGCATGTGACTGAAATGCCTTCTCCCTATTCATATTGCAACGTATAATATGTTCCTATTAGTGAAAAATATAAATACAAATTAGTGTATAATCTCTCAAAACTAATTTTTTTATATTCAAATAAAACATTTCCCGCTGGTGCCTTGATGATTTCCATAACTGACAACCAAAAAGCTGTTTTTGAGTTTTCATGGTCTAAATGCTTTTATAGAGGTTTTTAAAATCCAGTGCACATGCATGTGTTTATTTCCTTTTTGAGCAGGATAAATGAGCTTGTGTGAGAATGTTCATACAGGACATCTGCATATGCAAAGATCCACAGAGAGCTGCGAGCTGACCTTCCCTCAGGAGTTTCCTGGCACACTCCAGCTCTTGGCAGACGCAGGCCGTATAGAGCGCTGTGCCCAGGTGAGGAATGTGCATGTCCACATCTGCCCCCCAAGTCACCAGAGCCTCAACACAGCCGTAATGCCCTGGAAGTAATGGAGCATGAGGACAGTAATCAGTAAGTGACAATGCAAGATCATTCTAGCTGTCTGCTCGGGTCATGTTGGGATTTATTCTAAAGCTTTTTTTCACAGTGCAGGTTGTTACAAAGTGCTTTCGAGCACAGCAAAGGACACAAAGCAGGTTGAAAGTCAGGATAAGCTGTGATGAGTAGAAATTCATCGTATTTTGGTACGACAGATAAATCCAATATTAGTTAATTGCGTAAATGTATTGCCTTAAACCTGAACTTCTGACAGCAGAACAACTGTTTAGATATGCACTATATTTAAAAAGTCAATAAAAAACGACCTGATATACTGTATTAGTTAATGCATTCTGTCGTAATACAACAAACCTTTGCTTGTAGCCTCGTGGATTGGCGATGGATTGTATATAAGGCTCTGGGGTTTTGCTCCATTTTGCAGAAGAATTTCAGTGCATGCCACACTGCCCACTGAACAGGCATTGAACAGCGGTGTGACTCCATCAATTGTAGAAGCATTGACCTGTAAACACATGTTTTTAAATGGTTATATTTAGACCTTGTTTAACCTCGCCAGTTGACTAATAGCAACAGCCTGGGGGAAGAGTTGAAGGAGAACAACAACTTAATAGCTCTACCGGGACTGTAGAAGAAGAGCAGCGTTGCTCATTTGTTGGGCCTACTTCTCCTCAGATTTTCTCAGCCATAGAAATGACATTTGACCTGTGAAGCATAGCTACATTAAAGGACAGTGCGTGACTTACATTTGCCCCTGCTTCAACGAGAGCTCTTGCACAAGCGCCATGGTCTCCAACACAGGCCTCATGAAGGGGTGTCACATGGTCTATAGTCAGAGCATTCACATTGTGACCCTGGAAACAGAAATGGATTGTCACATGGAGCATTAAGCAATACTTGACCTTTGTTAACCTCTATTGGTGAACACCAGGAATTACAAGAACATCAATAAAGCTTATCTTCTTTTCTCAATGCAGACCCATCCTCCTCAGTTATGGCTGACAGTAATTGACAAACTATGCTGTACAGTCACATTCGAACAATAGAGTTTAATACGCTTGCTAATTAAGGTCGGAGCCAATAGAAGGGCTAAATAAATTACCATGCAGAATACTGTAATGATATCAATGTTTTGTCATGGGCTTGTCTGAGTTAAGACCAAGGCTTTGTTGGCTTTGTAGCTGAAATGGCTCACTACTCAGTCTGTGAGTGGAAAAGGACATTCTCCACGTCTCCCATGTATCTGTTATTCCATTAGCAAGTGATGCTACTGTATTGTTATGTAAAACTGTTATTATGGTAGTTATGTGATGTATTAACTATAAAAACATGTTTTAACTATGTATGTTCTAAGATTGGAAAGTCGTGGTAATTGAATGCTTACACCAGCTTTTCACCTAATACAAGATTTAGTATTTATGGACAGATGTTGACTGTCTACATACCAAGTTTTGCAGAGACTTGCCTATTATAACTAACAACCTGAGCAACCAATATTGCCACTTAATATCAATCTAGTGTGATCATACAAAATCATGTAGATATGGTTCTACAATGTTGTTCCACTTAAAAGAGAGATGTATTCTCAGCCGTAACTTGATTAGGAATGCCAACATTTTGCAATGAGAACAAAAAGAGTTGGACATATTTCATAGATAAATCTGTGTTTTTCAGGTTCCAATTACATAATTACATGTATCCCTGATAACCCTAGATCCTCCTTACTTTCATCCAAACTCCTTTTTTCTTCAACATCTAAAATAGGAGTCTACAAAGGCACTGATTCACATTTAATTGCACTAGGGACAGTTACAACACACCCCCACATGTACAGGGGGGGGGGGAACACATAACTCTCCCAGGGGACTTTGTTCCGTTCACCTGTAAAATGAGATTCCTCAGAGCCAGGAGGCGGCCCTGACTCGCAGCATCGTGGAGGGGGGAGCGGTCCACCCAGGATACTGCAGCGAGAATAACAATTCAGTGCTGTACATTTACGTGCATTATTGTTGATTCATTTATCCAGAGCAATTTACAATAATTGCAGCAGAACAAAAATATAATTATAGGTTAGAAACAGCACAAGTACATATTAGTCAGAAGCTCTTAATTGCACTGCACACACACATATTCTTTGCTTCCCTGGTGTGATAATGAAAGCGAGAAATGGTACATACAGTATGTTATAGTTTGGCGCTTGCAGATTTGGTTATGCTTTGTTATGTTAAATGAATATAATAGATATACAAAATGTACATAATGTGCCAGTGCAAACTATTTGTATTTAATGTCCACATCTTACTTTACTTACCCTGATATTTCTGTCTTATTGAATCAGTTTTTTTCAAAATAAATTATAATATTATAAACGTTATTTTAATGAAATTAGAGCTGCGTAATGAAATCCCAACCCCAAATCTAAATGTATTAATTCTCCATTATCTTTATATGTTAATGAGCGTCATATTGTACCCTTCATTTCCAAGGAGTTAATGCAAGGGGCAGCATGAATTATGTGACTGATGAGGCTTTCATATTCCTAATGCAGTAAACTCAGCACATTAACACTCCAATCACACAAGACATTAATATAAACATGAGAAATTGGCGGTGGCCATTTGGTGTAATTTGTGCACACAAAAATCTCATTAGCCCACTTGAGCCTTTGTCCAGAATAACAGCCGATGCTTTCTCCACATTACCGACCTTCCTCAATTGTAATAATGTATAGATAATGATCGGCTTAATGTTCTCTAATAAACTCAAGCTCTTTTATTCATGAGGCCTGTTTTCCTTGAGTGACATTAATTTGAAATATCAGTATAAGAGACCCAGCTAAAGACATCAAACAGATTTCTTATAATAAGGAAGACCATATCTACAGAACCGTGACTAACACCCTAAGCTAAGCTAATTAGTATTCCATGGAGTAGGTCCACTTTAAATTAAACATCGTCTTGTGTGATAGATAAAGATTATGTTGTCGTTGTGTCCTTCTCCCTTCAAAATGTGCCTTGGAAGTGTCTGTCTCTGAGAGTGTGGAGTGTTGTTTTGGTTGCTGTCTGAGTCGAAAGGGTTGCACTGCATAGCTGGGAATGGAAACTAGGGCAGGATGGGGGTGGGGGGGGTATCATGACTATGTTCTATTAATACATTAGGGAAAAAGTGCTGCCAGCCAACAGTGTCTCCGTTTAATATTGAATGTACTGCTCAGGATTCATAAGTAGCTATTAAGCTGATGAAAGAAAAGTAGGCTTTCGTTCATATCTACAGTTTGTATTAATTTGAATGTAACTAATGGCTCTTATACTCATTGGATTAGCAATGCAGCCTTCATATCTCATTTGAAAACATGGAAACTGTGTGTGTGTGTGTGTGTGTGTGTGTGTGTGTGTGTGTGTGTGTGTGTGTGTGTGTGTGTGTGTGTGTGTGTGTGTGTGTGTGTCTCTGTCTTTTCTTATGCCAAAATAAATACAATCATCTTTTTCCCTTCAAGTGTCACTTTAAATAATGTTTTTTATTAATATATCACCATGTTACATTTCTTAAACAAAATAAATCACTTTATGCAGATACATTTGTAATCATACATGCACGACAAACACACTGCACAACTATAATAATAAGTATACAAAAATGCATCTTATTAAATACATAAGGTAGATACACGTTTTACACAGTGATGTGGCTAACAGTCGATGTATACAGAGATCAATCCTTGTATAAATACGCAATTAAATTAATGAAATAGCATACTATACAAAACACATTATTACACAACTACACTATTAACATTATGTACACGTTCTACAGTTCATTATTTATGCTCTGCAAATTGTCTTATAGGTGGTGATATTGACATTTTGTACGCAGCTTTATAATGATTGTATCTGCCCTAAAACATCCTAGTAGTCTGAATTGGCTTCCTGTCTGACACCTTCCCCGTGCTCACAGGAAACACCAGGGGTTTGTTGAACCAGAGTTTGATCACTGCTCTCACTGATCCATTTGCTTTCAGGTCAGTCACAATGGATTTACATAATTGTATTGAAAAACACATCTAAGCACATTTTATCAAGGAGCCATCTGCTGTACTGTGTCACCGGTCAAGATTAGACATTAGACTAAAATAGTCTCATTTGGCCATTTTAATTATTCAGGGTCAGACACTGCGTCACAAGTCTCTGCCGTATGAACCTCAGCTTGATTTAACTAATGAACTAGAAATCTGCTGTTCTCTGTTAACAAAGCACATTTGGTGGGCTTTTAGTGGCACCCTTAGATAAAGAGACATTTCTCACCATGCTTAACCATTCAAATGAACACATTTAGTTATTTTCCATATTTACATGTCCCGATCTCATGACTTCCTAGATAGTAAACATACAACTCATCAAATGTTTCTCCCTAATAGACATTATGGTGGTTTAGATTGTCAACCATCTGACACGATCCCTCTATGTGCCATGTTTACCTTAAAAAAATGCAATTAAGATGCTCCAAAAATGCCATGTATTTTTGTTAATTGTGTGTTTCCAACAAAAACAGCACATGTTTTCGGGTGAAAACACAACCTTTTTTTCAGCGTATCGGCTTTTTGAGGTACATCACGCTGATCTCTTTGCATGCTTTGACGGCCCCCCTGTTCACCTGTCACTAAAATGTTCCAGCTGGGATCTCCTGTTTGAAAGCCAGTTAGAGTGAAAAAAGGCTCTGGCGCCTCTTAGTCTGAGTCTTCACTGCTGCAGTAGGAGCTGTCGCAGCATTCGGCCATGTAGAGGAACTTGTGGATGTTGGGATTTAGCTTGGGCACCCAGTGGCGAGGCACCAGGAACGTTGCCAGATTGAACAGATCCACAAACACTTTGTAGCGGTCACTGAAGGGGGGGGAAAAAGTACTCAATATGAAACTCATGTACTCACAATATAACTGTGCATCTGTTACAAATTGTACTTTCTGAAGGACAAACGCTGAACGAAATCGCTGCCAACATTGAATGGATAAGGAACTTGACGTGGCTCCTATGAAATTAACTTTAAGTATAGTTTGTGCATGTCAGGAAGAAGTGGCCGTATGACAGGTTAATTAAGATAAGCACATGGTAGCAGTATCCTGTCCTTATCTAAATGAACTCTGAAGTGTGAAAGTGTTCAATCTGTAGGAGAAAGTGTAATAGCATACCTGACAGTGGATCTGAGGTAGTGGTATCCAGACGAGCCCCCTGTGCCGGCTTTGCTGCCAATCATGCGATGCACCATGCAAACATGATTGTCTGTAAACATAAGACAGAAATATCCGCTGTGATATGAGCTATGTTCCGGGTCTGCATGTTTCATTTGAGCTGCAAATTGTTTAGACATAAAGTGAGACAGCTGGGGAAAAAATGTATTTCTTGGGAAATGTGGGGCTGATAAGCAGGAGGAGAGGATGATTTGATAGATGTCTGCCTCTGAGGTCCTGACCTAATACTGCTCTGTAAACCTCCTTTTATTCAAACTCTGCCCTAGGGCAATATTTGAACACATTGTTTATTTCTAGGTGGTGTCTGCTTTTTTTCCCCTTCCCATTTGTACTGTTTTTGTTCACTTGTGAGTTTGTGCTGACAAGGATGCAACAGTAACTTACATCTCCATTTTGTCATGAGGGTGTCAATATCCATGAGGGATGTGAGCAGCTGGAAGGGAACCTGAAACCTCGGCTCTTCCCTGAGAGAAAGAAAACGGAAGATTTTTACTGTTTGCTCGATTTTATTTACAGTATGTACGATACCTTTTACAGACATCAAGTGGCATACAATGTTTCTGGAGAAGAAGTCAAACTAGAGTTAGTATGACCTGCTCACTACCCTTCATGCAGTTCACTTATTTTACCAAACAGTTTTCCATTAATTACAACCACACATGACATATTGTTAACTCTTGGGTACTCCTAAGAATCGTGTGGAGTTGCTTCACTACCTAATACAAGGTGAAGGAATTGCTGTAAAAAAAGAAATACCTGTAAAAGTAGATCATTAGGGCGCCTTGGAGAGCCTTGTAAGACAGCCGCCTCTCACCTTGTCAGCAAATACAAAAAGATACTTTTTCAGCAAATGTCATTGTCTTTGTGAGATAGATCCTTATAAACGTCACAAAAAACGATCTAGCATTCATACAAGTTTAAATAACTATACACAGATTTGTAAAGGATTGACAAAAAACATGACGTTATTAATATCACATCAATGAAGTCACAAGTACTCACCTTTGCTAAGCAGATGGTCGTGTCGCTTTTCATCAAACAGAGAAGTGAACAGCTCTTTCTGTTTGATCAGCTCAAGCATCATTTCCTCCTTGTCCTCAGAAACTTCCATTGCCTTAAAAAAAAGAAAGACACAGTCCCTGTCGGTGATCTTTGAATGGCTAGTGGAGCAAAGAGAGTTTGTCCTGCAAACTGGAATCATCCCTTACCTCGATTTTTTCCTTCTCCTTGTTCAGCCCATCAAATATATTGATTTCAAACCTTTCCCAGAAATTGAATCCATCCACCTCCAAGCCAGGAGTTCTCTCCAGCCACTCCTGAGAAGAACAGCCAAGGTTTTTATCACATTAATATCCTATATCCTGGTCTTTAGCACATTGGCTCATGCAGTGTTACAGAAAAAAATGTAGTTCAGTTAAAATAATGCCAAACCCTTTTAACCTATGCAATTCAGCATTCATATCTTATACTAAAATACCACCTCATTTTTTGAATTGCAATCTTATATTTTAGCACTATATGCACATTGTTTTTTACTTTAACTTCACATGTGTATATCAATATTTTAATTATATGTATACTATTTTGGACATATACTTTAATTGAAAGATTTGTATTGTCTGTCGCATAACCCATTTTTTCCTGGGACTAATGAAGTATTTAGATTTGTATTCTGATTATAACTCTTGACTACAATACAACTGCTGAACGAACAGGTGTTTTGTAAAGAGCCGAATCTTATGGCTCCTTTCCGAGAGCCGTTCAAAAGAGTCGTTTCTTTTTAAGGGCGCGGGGTTAATGGGGCGAAGCCTGCGAGCTAGTTCAGGCAGTCGACTCGAGCACTTATGCTGCATTCATACATAACGCCCCTTGCCACTCTACAACCAACCAAACAGAGTCTCCTTAATATGCCGCTCTATTTAACCTGCCAGATATCTCTCTATGCTTTGCTTGCTGCTGATATTGCTGCAGCTATACTTCCACGTCGCTGCTGCTTGCCTGCCCCACCACCACCCCAGCTTCCACCCCAGCTTCCACCTGTAGGCTCGGGGGTTAGTTATTTAATCGTCACTCATCGTGCTATGTATATCCGTGGAGTGATGAGGCCCGAGCCTAGACGCCAAACTCAACTATATGCTGCTTAACATGTTAGAGAAACACGTGAGTTGTCTGACTGAAAGGAAAGAACATAAGATTCCAGAGCCCATTCCCGGCCAGACTAACTGTGTTTTATGAGGACAACCCAGTCGAAGCTTGTTCTGCTGATGCAAGTCAGACTACAGAGCTAGATGGAAAGAAATTGAGAATAATGTATCAGGATGCGTTACGCCATCATCATCTACAGCTCATGTGCATTCAGGAAAGCAGGTTCCCGTAAAGGCGAGTGGAAGTATGGCAGGCAGTGAACCAACGATAAGAAGAACGGCTCTCACCAAGTACAACTCGGTTCCCTTCGTTCGTTCTAAAGAGCCGTTCAAAAGTATCGGATCGTTCGCGACCGTCACATCACTCGTGTTTTGTGGTTGTGAGACGTACCTCCACCAGTTTTAGGAGTGTTGGCTCCTGTTCAGTAGCGAGCAGCATCTCACTCTCATGACCCTTGAAGTTGTCCCTGTAATGGCGTCTGTTGTATGGGACCCTCAGGTTGTCCGGGACCCCGATTTTGTTTTCCAAGATCCGAAACTGGAGGCTTTGGAATCCAGAGGCTGGAGCCAGGTATTCCCTGGGGACAGAAGCAAATGCACAAGTAAGCAAACAACACAGACAGAGTGTATCATGAAGTAGTTCATCTTATACATGTTTAAGAGCTTAAGTAGAAAAGGCACGGAAGTTATTTATAAGCTTACCTAAAGTCAAAGAAGTCCAAAGCTGTCATTGTCTCCAAAACTGAAAACTGGTCGACCAACAGTTTGAAGATCATCACAATCCTGTGGATGCGATTGTTGACTTTGAGCATGTTGCGTTCATCTCTGACCTGCAGCATTGGTCAAATGTTGAAGGAAATACTGACTTTAGTAATGGTGGTAAACCTTGCAAGCACATATCATGACACAGGAAACAAATCAATAAGACGTGTCTGCTCCAGAGAAAAATGTCAAAAACTGTTGCTCTAATTGTAATCTAGGACATCAGGCTGGGTGATGCACAACAATCCTTTTTTTACCCTGATTTAACCAAACCAGATTGACTGAATAAAAACAAAATGGTTCCTATTTAATGTGACTTCAGAGGAGATCTGACTGACACAGTTTTCTCCCCTGAGAGATTGATTGTTCTACTTCATGATTTCACATTTTGAGCAAGCACTTTTGAGCATTGTTCAACACTGACAGCTAAAATATCAAATATCTGAGTTAAGCACAACATGTTTTTGATTCATGCTAATTTACCTCTTTTTCTATAAACAAGAACCCAACCACATTACATTTGTCAAATTATTTTAGAAATAAATGTGACTTACACATCCAGTGGTAAAGATGTGTCGCACTGAATCCAGCTCCCACAAAATCTGTTTGAACCAAAGTTCATAGGCTGGAATAAAAGACAAAAGTGTTAAGCTTCATAAACATTTAAAAATTCAAATAGCAGGGTAAACAGACAAGTCAGGGAGAATTACACAACACACATTCAATTAAGAAAAGATTCTCATAAATTCAACCGTATACACACAAACTGCTTCTTCAAATACATCCAAATGTATTTAGTGGGCATTTTCTCTCATTACAAACATAAGATTTAAATATTGCCTCCTTTATTTTTACTCTATTAAAACAGTCCAGAATAGCGATTTGAAACCTCATTATAAATACATGAAATTATCCTAACCAAAAAAGGCTAAATACAAGATTAAACGCAACTATTTTCTTTATGTGAAACAGTAGAAAATAGAATTTTTATCACTTGTTGTTTTACCTTGATGGGTGACAATGAAGAGGTGCTCATCATGGATCTTATTACCCTTCAACTCACTCTGCAACACCTGGGCCGAGACTATTTTGTCGAGCTGAGAGTGGAAAATAAACACTTAACTTAAAAGCAAAACAATGTGAAAACAAATCCAATTCCAGTATCTTTTAAAAGACAAACACAAAGACTGCAGCGTATAATAGGTAATGTTTCCTATACCTGCAGGTACTCTCCGTAGATGATTCCTCCTTTACTGGCCTTGTTAACCCCAGCCTGAGAGCCATCCTCTTCTTCCTCCGCTGTTGGAGGCTTGTTTTTGAATAACCTGCAGTGCAAAGAGAAAAGCGTTTGTTACTTGTTTTCCCACCTGCAGGATTAGTAAAGAATTGTTGCATTTTATCGATAAGAAATCCTTTAGAGCTCTATTTTAGTAGTGATGATAGTTACAACGTACAAATGCCTCTTCTCAAAGTACGGACATCCACTCATGACTTGTCCAAATCAGTTGCTGCAAAGATGTGTTCTTCTTCCTTGACTAATAGTTTCTACAATTGTTGTCAATGAAGTCCAGATTTATAAAGCCTCAGCTTATCCAATCACTCGTGAGGATAGATTGATCATCCGGCCCGCCTCTGTTTGACCCAATGGAGCTGCTGTTTACTTTGAACCAGAAACACCTTCTGGACTTTGTGATACTTGTTAAAAAAAAAAAGAACAGTCACAGGACCTTTTTCACACAATAAACTGAAAAATAGCAGATACAACAAATATTACCAACACAAGAAGAGTCTTTGCTGAGAACCGTTAATACTCACGGATGAGTTAGGGCAGTGGTTCCCAACCTGTGGGCCGCGGCCCCCTGGTGGGCCGCGAAGGTATTGCAAGTGGGCCGCCAAATCTTTTCCAAAATAGTATGATTTTTGTGGGGGGAAAATCAGATAAAAATATACAGAATAATATTTAAAATGATATAAAAAATGTAATTATTCTTTTCATCATTGCATTTTTCCTTAAAATATTAGATATGTGACGAGCAGAGAGATAGGAACATTTGTTGTAATCGGCCAGACTACTTTGCTGCGGGACCGGCGGGACAGCTCTGCACTTGATTGATGCTGATTGTGTAAACTGTAATTAAGTTAGAGTAGAGCAGAGTATTAAAATGGATAGCTGGCTAGCAACAGGGAGTATTAAAAGGAAAGAGAGACCAGAGGCTGTCAGTGAATCGACCGGTGATCTCCTGGCCGTCAAACAAAACTGAAGAGTTCGAAGAAAGTACAGTGCTGAGTACTTAGTGCTGGGATTTTTTTGGACAGGCACAGAAGCTGAGCCGTTACCGCTGTGTGTCGTGTGCTTTGAGACTTTGTCAAACGAAGCCTTGAAGCCATGTAAACTGCGCCGTCACCTCGAGACAAAACAGAGGAGAAGAGCGAAGAAAGGAGAGCAGAGAGTGGTGTGTGGTGTGTAGTGGTGTTGTGTGTGGTGTGTTGTGTGTGTGTGTGTCGGTGTTGTTGTGTGTGTGTGGTTACATATTTGCCTCGACCGGTAGTTGTGGTGTGTTGCAGTAGGTCTTGTACTGTCTCGTTACAGCCGACAGACGAAGTGCCGCCGAGGTAGGTTCTGCTAGCAGTATTCTGGATTCATGGCGATTCGGCTAGTCGCGTTCTCGGGTCAGAAGGCATATGGTGTTAAACTTAGCGGGTTGTTCAGTTTAGGTTGTGCTTGTTTTGAGCCGTTTATAGTGTTTCATTCGCGTAACTTTCAGCTGATTCCGGCATCGTTTATTTTGTGTTTAGGCACCACATTTCTAGCTACATCTAAGACGACCCGGTAATTACTAGTTTGAATGTGACCATAACACATTGGTAATTTATAGTGAGGACGGATGTCTTACGTGCTTGGTCACGTGTCCATTTCAGTTTGATACGTACATTACATTTCGGAGCTGGTCGTCTTTTTATAAATGTCTAGTTCATTTCGTTATGAAGTTGCTTTTATTTTAATTTCGAAGATATTTCGCGTCACCTAGTCAGGTTTGTTGTTCGGGTGTTATACGAACGGGAGGATTTACTCTGCCGACCCAACCAGTGACGTACCGCCGTGGTCTACAAACTACCAGACCGTTGTTACCCTACTTCAAAGAAGTCAAGCTTCTAGCACGAGTGTAAGTCAACCGAAAAGACATGACATAAAAATTAGGTGCTCACGTCCTTTTAGGTCAGAGTGTCTCCATGCAGCCAACCCTTTCCGTAGTCCTTAAGAGTGTCGAAGACTGGTCCTAGTTAATGAGTCTTCGTTGTACTTCGGGTCTTCAAACAGTCCACGAAGACACTCTTCTGTCGAAGTCGCGCACAGTGTTCTCTCTCAGGTCCTTCTGACAGAACGGAGAAAACGTGAGTTGTCGTCGCTTCGGAGTAGTGACACCGACACGCTTTTACCAAAAGGATAGGGTCCACACGACATGACGTGTAGACCGCTACCCCTTCAGATCCGCGCGTCGACCCCAGGAGTTTGGAACGTCCCACGAGAGGATCGTCGCCAACGAGAGTGCCACTACCTTTCACCTGAGACAAGGCAGCCAGTCTTTGAGGCGGTATGAAAGGATTCTGCTAGTAGAACTGAGCGAGCTGCGGCGAATCGGGTGTCGCGGTCGAAAGAGATGTGAAGCGCGCGCGCAGCAACGTTGAAGAAGTAGACCTGTAACTTATACAAGTGGACAATAGGGAACTTCCTGGCTCCAACTCAGGTAAATCCACCGACTCTTGTTATAGTCGGGTCCCATTGGGTTGAATCGTTGGTCGAGTCTTTAGGGACTTCGGCCACAACGACTCAAGTTTTGCACCACCAGCTCTTTTTTGTGTACGTGAAGTAGTGCGTTGAGTTTGTCAGCGGTCCTGAAAACGGAGCCTTCTGCCGCTGGCGTGAGGTCACACATTGGTCATGCGACCACCTAGCTCGAGCTCGACGCGTAGAGAGGTGTATTGTGTGGCGTTATTTGCACAACGTCACTGCCGTAACTACCTGCCGTGTCGACATCTTGCAACGAGTCGATGGGGTAGATGTGGGCAGAAGTCTAGGCCGGTCACGTAAAGAAACACGTTCGTTCCGACGAAGTGCCCATACGACGACGCGGCACCTGTCTACACGGAGCGCCTCGGGTGGCGAAAGTGTGCAGCCTGTTGGGGCGACACGACGACGGGTCGTAACGTGCCCGAGCGGCAGTAGCACGAGGTTAGGTTGTGTAACCCCTGGTCAGGTTTAGGGTAACCTTTGTGTATTTTCACAAGTGTCACACCTTTTCACCGGAGTCGTCAACTTGCCCAATCCGTCCTCCAAATGTCTTTATTTTCTTGAGGAGAAATATTAGAGGCGGTGGTAAAAAGCATAGCGTGTAATCTTTCGTCTCGGCAAACGGGTCTGAACGCGCTGCAGCCAACTGAGTAGGGTCAAACCTCCGTGCATTTCGCGAGAGAAAATGCGAAACCTAGTCGACGAGTTGGTGTATAATAGACGGTAAAGTAGTAGGAGAAGCAAAACTGGCATAATCAGGCTGTTACTTGGCTCACACTATCCCGACGTGACGGAAGAGAGGGGTGTGTAGTTGGGACGTTGCTTAGACAAACGTCGCCCTTCTTAATTTAGGAGTCGGCTACCACACACACAAAAGGTCGAAACCGTTACTCAACCTGCTGGGCTTTTCTGCGAAGGTGTCGGTAAACACAAGAGTGCAGATGTCGGGTATACGAGTTAATAATGGAAGAAAAAGAGGGACTATGAGGGAACTCGAACAAGCTCTTTTTAGGGGCCCGAAACCAGCG